TTTACTGATAAACCACTAAGTTTTTTTTATTAAACTTAGAGATTTGTTATTCATAAAGTACTAAGATGATTCTTCTTACTTGTCTTGTTAAACTGATCTGATTTCACACTTCAAATAAATGTCCTGTAATGTATAATTCCTCTTAATTTGCTTAATTCACACAACGCCCCTGGTAGATAACTTGTGACGCTTAGCACTCTTTTCTTGTCTGGTTTTGAACATTTTTAGTACTGTATTTATGTAAGTCCCACTTTTTTTTAAGTTGTGGGAAGACCTCATATTGACTGAAACATAGTCTTTGCCATGGCCTCCAGCTGATCGCTCTTCCTGCCTGCTCTTGTTTCTGTAATCTAAACAGTCCCCTCCTCTGCCCCCATTTGCTGAGAATGTTCTTCCCGGTTCTGCAATAATCTGTTCTCCTACTTCATTTGGGTCCAGTTCACTCACCTCAGAGTTCTCCTGCAGTCCTTTGTCCAGAAAAGCGTCTCGGCTATTCTGCACGTACTCTGTTGGAGATTTCCTCAGAGCATTTCTAACTGACAGCTTAATGACCTACTGTCTGAAATACTTGGGACCAGAAGTGTTTTGGATTATTTTGATTTTGAAATATTTGCAGATACATTATGAAATATTTTGGCTAAGGGATTTGAATCCAAATAGAATCTATTCAAGTTTCACATGTTCCTTGGACATGTAACCTGAAAGTATTTTTAAACAGTATTTTTAGTGCACATGCATTTTGACTGGAGCCTGCTACGTGAGGTCTGGTGTGCAGTTTTCCACTTGGTGTCATGTTACCATTTGAAAAAATAAAAATTTGGAGGACTTTGGAGTTTGGATACATTAGATTAGGATGCCCAACTTGCAAGGTATTGTTAGCCTTTCCTAAGACGTGTAAGCTTCATGAGTACTGGGAGTCTGGGTGTTCAGTATTGTGTTCTTGTTGGCTAGTGAGATGTGGGATAGCATGCAGAAGTTACTAATTTTTTTGTTGTTGATGTGAGCAAATGTTGTAATTTTTCTGATTTCACAGTTGCTAATAGACTTTAAAACATTTAGACTTAATCTTTGGATGTATTTTGTAGATAAGCCCTATTATCATGAATCATCTGGGCTATGTAAGTGTCTTTAGCTAAAAATACGAAATACCAGAATTGATGTTTGACCTGTGCAGACAATGCTTACATACAACAATACTGTGGACTTCCTATGTTAAAGATCAGAACCTGAGACCAGGTGATGTGAGTAGGTATCACAGGCCATGCAGCTTGTTAGTCTCAGAGCTCTGATTGTGTCTGGTAAACCAAGCATTAGATTTCATACAGCCTACATGTGTGTGTTTAGTTTCTTAGATATTTGTAATAATTGATTTTCTTTACTTGTAACTTTGCTGTTTTCTCTCAACTTCATGCTATAGCAACTGTTTGGTCTTTAAACTGATGACCAAAGGGATTAAGACTGGGCTGGTTTAACACTAGAAACAGCTCACCTGACAAGGGTTAACTCTTGAATCCCAGGCTGATGCCTGGGAATCCAGCATGGGACTGACCAAGACCCCCTGAATGGGGGTGTCAGTGAGGAGGCCTAGGTAATCTATTGAGCCTTGGGCAGTAGATCAGTATTCATCCCGAGTATACACATGACTTTGGACTCCCATCCAACAATGTGAGATGCACTCTCAGCCTGAACTCTTGGGGGAGGGTCTAGGCCCTGCCCTGGATGAAATGACAGACTATGGACACCCCCATGGAGGGCCTCACCCTCCCTGGGGAAATGAGGGGATAATGGGGGGGTTGTGGGGGAGGGCACGGGAGGAGGGGAAGGAAAGGGAGAGGGACCTGGAACTGACTTGTGAAGCAACCTTGTTTCTAATCTAAATTTAAACTTAAAAATAAATAATAAAAAATAAAAAATAAATTTCATAGCTCTTGAGAACCATTGGGTGAATAGTGAATATTGGATCGTTTTTAGTTTTCTTTATTCATTAATATAAGATCAATTTCTAATCAAAATTGCTATTATTAGGAAAGTCTAATTCCTTAGAGACCTACCTACATCTGAACTTGGTATTTAGTCAATGAATAAGACTGGAAGTAGCTATATTCATCCAGGTAATGCACTGTGGTTTCTGAAGGCAGGCAATAGTTAAAAAGAGACTGTTCTTTTTCTTTTAATTCTTTATTTTATTACACTTTTTTAGAAAAGAGCTTGCTTCACACGTCAATCCCAGTTCCCTCTCCCTCCTCTCCTCCCGTACTTTCCCACCATTCCCCCCAGCCTCCCACCCTATCCCCACTCCCTTCCACATAGGGGATCTCCAGAGTCTGTCGATTCATTCAGGGCAGGGTCCAGGCCCTCTCCCAAGAGTCCAGGCTGAGAGCATCCCTCTTTGTGTTATGGACACATGAAGTCCATTTGTATGCCAGGGATAAACACTGATCCACTGCTTAGTACCCCATAGGTTGCTCAGGACTCTTCACTGACTCTCACATTCAGGGGGTCTGGATCAGTCCCATGCTGGCCTCCCAGCTGTCGGTCTGGGGTCCAAGAGCTCTCCCTTGTTCAGATCAGCTGTTTCTGCAGATTTCGCTGCCCATTCTTCGCCCGTTTGCTCATTGCTCCTCTCTCTCTGTCACTGGGTTCCAGGGGTTCATAAGTTCAGTGTTTAGCTGTGGGTGTCTGCCTCCACTTCCATCATTCACTGGACGAAGGTTCTAGGATGACATATAAGGCAGTCGTCAAGTTCATTATCAGGAATGGGCACTTAAGGTAGTCTCTCCACTAATGCTTAGTTTGCCAGTTGGTGTCATCCTTGTAGATCACTAGAGGTCTTACTGGTGCCAGATCTCTCTTCAGACCTATAGTGACTCCCTCTATTATGGTATTTCTCATCCTGTTCTCCCCCTATCTGTCCCCCAACTCAACTTTCTTACTCCCTCATGACCTACTCTCGTCTTCTCACCCTCTCTTCTTCCCAGCTCCCCTTCTTTCCTTTTCCTCTTCCCTATCTGTTTCTGGAAAGTTTCCAAGGGTTGTATGCGTTAATTCTCCTCTGATAGGGTATCACTTGCCCATTACGGGGCAGTGCAGGGATTTGTGACTCAGCCATCTCCAAGAAGCCAGTCCATCTCTGACCACATAATGGCATTGCTCGTTGGTTAATGTTTAGTAACATGTTTAGGAATGACCAGCTTGTGTGTAGGGGTAGCTGCAGGGCATCTGCGTGAACTCAGTGACATCTTCCCCTCCTAGCAGCTCCTCATTTTGAGATGTGCTTTTCTTTTTGCCTCACATTTCTCTTCTCAGTAAGAAAGGAAAGCTTTCCTTTCTGAAGTTGTAAATGAGATGTTACAAAAGTCACTTGTTCCCACATGGAGAAAGTGTGTAACTGCCTTTCAAAAGGACATAAACTTTCTCAGGCTAGAACACCTTGAAATGCACAATTCTGAACCAGAGTCTGAGAGCTCTTGGAGAGTTGACAGGGTGAGTAGTTCATCTTTAGGCTCTCCAGCCTGCTTTGTTACCTCCACAGATCCTTGGTCTGTACTTGTCAAATGTTGAAGCCTCCTAGTGGCATAATGTTTGATATAATTAAGGAATTAAAAATATCACTTATTGAAAGAGTACTTGCTAAACTATCAAAGCTTGTATGCAGTGCACTGGAATGCTCCTGTGTTGGTACCAGATAGTAAATTTGGGTCAGACTGCATTGTCTGTCACCTAACCTTGATGAAAAAATCTGACTGGAAGATACATAATATACCATGTAAGAGGCGATTGAAAATCGTAGTGGACTTAATTGATTTTTTATTGAATGCAGCTATTTTATACTTGCAGGTAGAACAATAATGCTGTTAATGAGATTTCGGTTACTTTGTGTACATGTATTGTTTTAAATGTAGCTATTGTGTTTACATTTTAACTTCTTTTTTAAAAGATGGAGCTATTTCCTTGTGGAGTGTATGTGGTTCATTTTCATACAGTTTTAAAAAATTCTCTACTTTCAAGCTAAATAAAATGACTTAATTGGGAAACTTGAAATGGAGACTAGTAAAACTTTAAAACAATAAAAAAGAACATTGGTTTAATTACTACTTTAATAAGTAAAAATATACCTTATAACTATAGTAATTTTTAAAATAGAAGCGACACAGAAAGAAATATGAATGAGGATTAGTTAGGAGGGAGAAAGAAGTGGCATCCCTTCATTAAGCATTAAAATTTTTTTAATTAACCGCTTGCCCAAACACAACAATTAAAATGGCAATTACCTCTAAAGTAGCAACAGTGGAATTGCAGCCGCTGTGATCTAAAGCTGGGAAACAAAATGTTAATCTGGAATGAGCAGTTTAAATATGAAATTATGATATACTTGGCTTCCTGTAGTACAGCTGTCAAGCTTGGGCAGCTCGCTGGTCAATAGTGACATTCTATGTGTCAGTGAACAGCGTCCCTTGATACCATAACCCACAGTTCACACATTACTGAAGCTCCAACTGTCGACCATTCAAGTCCCCTGGTATTACTGCAGCTTCCAGACTCTCCTGACTGGCTCATGTTTCATTCTTTGGCAATTTGCCCTAATGATATCCCTCAGGAGCTTTCAGCCTCTCTTCTTTCCATATTTAATCGTGTTGTATTAATCTGAGTGATGCGGCAACTGGGCTGCACAAATTGTCATTTCCTACAATATTTTCTAAGAGACTCACTAATCTTTTCAGTTCAACTTTTATATATGGGTCAAAATTTAGCCCTAACTGTATTTTCAAGTTGAATATAAAATATGCATATGATTCCCAAGAAACTCCTTTTGCTGTTTGTGTGTTTTTCAAAAGGACCTTTGAGACAGACTTTTCCATGTATCATTGGTACAAACAGTGTGAGCTATGTCACTGTGTAAATTGTTCTATGATGATCGCTCATCTTTGATACCTTGAACATGCCTTTTTCTTTAGAGGGTCAGCAGCTCCTCATTATTGTTCCCCTTCTGTGAATTTTAGTTAACTGCCTGTCTCCATGGATCGGCTGCTCTGCTCTACCCGATGTACTGGCAGCACATATACATCCCCGTGCTTCCTCCACACCTACTGGACTACTGCTGGTAAGCCTGCCTTGCCAGACTCCCATCAACCTCCATTTTAGCATTAAAAACAAAAAGATCTTCATATTATAGTCATTTACAGATTAAAGAAACCACAGAAACTTGACTTTCAGATTTGTTGTAAGTATAAAAGAGTATTTTTTTATATGTATCAGAACAGTTCATTCCAAAGATAGCAAAAAATTTAGATTCGGCAAATGTAGTTTAGAAAAAAATGTGTAAGTAAGAAATGTAATTTAATTTTGAGGCTCAAATATTATATAAGGGTTATGGGTGTCAGAGAACAATATCCCAGGTATCAGAATTTATTTGCCAAATCTATCCATAATCCAGTTGGCTCTATGAGGACAACCTTTCATACCTTTGCCTGTGACACCCTTTTCCTTCACCTCCTCTCTTCTCAGTAGCACCCTGAAAACAGTATTGTCAAAGCAATTGTTTCTAGTACAAGAATTTTCGAGAGTCTGATATGAGGCAAAGTGTCAGCCTAAAGCAACCTTGAAAACAGTGTGGAAAGTGTGAGAGCCATTGTGAGAACAAGCTGGCTTTAGAAACAGCTCCCAGTGAGTTCAGTAATCTGAGTTCAATCAGGCCACTAGAAACCAGAGCAATGGCCAATGGCCTCCTTGTTCTCTCTGCCTGGCATACAGCAAGGCTTGTGTATAGTAAGACTAGACAAGGAGTAGACTCCAAAGCAGAAGCATTGATTGTGTATAGTGAAGCTACTCCAGAACTACATTGTGATGCAGTAGTTTTGGTACTTGAGGGTAAAGAATTCTATTCATTATGTAATCACCTGCAGCAATAGTTAATTTTTAAGAAATCTGTTGAGATTTCTTTCTCTGAACCATGCCTCTGTATACACGCATGATATACATACACACACATGCACACAGATACACACGCACACACATTCACACACACAAACACACACACACACAGAAATCATTTGGCATTGATAGTTTTCTTATATCAAAGTTAGTACTAGTAAAAATCAAGGTCCTTTGGAATTAATATGTTTATTTAAGGTTTTCATGAAAGACATTATTTAAAGTTCTTTAAGGATAGTGATTATTTAAATATGCGATGTTTATACAAAGGACTGGGAGGTGTTGTATTACGTTTCTCTGACTAGCCTTCTATAGAACAATGCTTGTACTTGTCCAGATTGATTACACTGCGGTACTGTGTGTTTCCATAGTGTAGTCATAGTATTGCTCATGCTGTGAGGTGGGTAACCAGTGACTCACCACTGTTATTCTTTCCTTAGGCAACTTGAAAGGAAAAATAGTTTTGTAGACTACAGGGTGTAATTTAATTATATTGTGAAGTGTGATGTGCACACATCTAAGTATAAAGTCAGATCAATAAGTTAAGTTTCTCTGTTATTCGTTTTAGAGTTTTCTTTTTGACCAACACATTTAAAGTAGATTTCCTCCTTAAAGAGAATGCAGTTGGTTTATGATGATGTCAGTAATAGATTTTTGTATACAAGTGTTCTGTAACTAGCCTTTTAAAGTACTCTCTTCTAAAAGTCTTATACCACGAAATTCATTTTGAGAATTAATTATAGGATTAGAATTGCATTTTGTAGTAGTAGTACTTGCTTCATAATTTTTCTGTTAAAGTGCTATGACTTCTTATGATAACATGCCTTTTACTCAATTCTATGTAGTGCTACATATTCAAAATTTTCTTAAACATTATAAAGTATCAATAGCATACAATCTTTCCAGAACTATTTTCTTGATTCTGAACCTGTTGTCAAGTCTTTCATGCTGCTTCCAGTCTACGTGAAGAAGTGTCTCCCTTCTCTTTCTTCCTTATTGCTTGCTTGCACCTAATGCAGGAAATAGTCTTGAGCACAAGTTCCTACAGCCTCCATACCATCTGCAGTGTCCAAACAGGAACTATTTGAATGCTTTCTGAGCCTTAAAGTCATATGGTAGGCTCAGCTTTTGTCAAAGGATCTATCAACCCATCTATGTGACTTCCTTCTATTGTCAGAAAATATGATAGATTAAGTACTTTCCGAGGTGAGATGATCCTGTTCCATTTATATCCTTGATATTAGGATCATACTGATCTATGCTGAAGGAATAAAAATGGAAGTTATCCCCTCAGTCTCAAACTCATGAGACAAAGAATTTACATCAAGCTCCAAATTCAGCCACATTTTGAGGATTACTTGCACCTTGCTTAACTTTTCAGAGTGATTGGAATGCTGCAAATCCTGAAATAGTCATGGATTGACAAAACATTTCTCTGTTTGCACCTGATGTTGGTGATGTGCCATAGACTTTGGAGAACCATAATGCCCTCTTGTGACCACAAATGAATATCACATCTTGGTCCTTTGACACTCTTATTACATTGTTGGTTGGTCCATTCATCCATCCATTCATGCACCCACCTACCCACACACCCTCTCACCCCTCCATCATTTAGTGACTACCCATTTGGCAAACTGTGAATATGTAATATAATGAGTAAGCTTATTTACTGAAAAAATATATACATAGCTCTCTGTACACTTCCATGCACACATCCAAGTACTGAATAACCCTGTAACACTATAATTGCTATAGCAGAGTGCTCAAAGAGACATGGGTGGCAGCTGAAGCAGTTAAGTGGACAGCAATCTTCCTAAGTTCAGGAAAGCTGTTAGGAAGAGGTGATAAAATCTGTCTTTTCCTCTTAGTCAAGAAAACCAAAAGTATTCCAGTATGGTCTGAACCCATGAACATGGTTGGGAGATTATCATAGATTGTTACCATAAATTATCATCTGCTCAAGTGCTCTTAAGTAAGTTATTTAGTTGAATTCTCTAGTTTATTTCTTTGAAATTATCAGATTTGGCTTCTAAGAGAAAAAGTAAATAAGAAATTGTATTCTTTCAATCTGCCCTGATTGCTGCAATAGCATGCATCAGGGATACTTCTTTGTAAGCAGTTTAGGAAGAAAAAAAGTGAATTTGAGTAAAGATTCTAACACCAAGAAGAAATAGTTTAGAGTTGTCTGCACTGTCTTTGCTAAATAATGTCACAGGCAGTAGGCCTTGAAGATAGCCTTACACGTAGGTAATGGAGTACCTACATCACCATTGGTCTCTTCCTCATGCACCAATACCCTCATCAAAGTAGGATGGGTTGCAAGGTGACTTTCCTTGAGAGTTGGCCTATGTCACACTATGATATGTACAGTCCAGGGGGAAAGGAACACCTATCCATTTGACTCTATAAACATTGCATTCTAGCAAATATAATGATTTTAGAAAATTATTCTCTAGCATTTTTAATTCAAAAATATGTAAGTTTAGGAATTTGCTGCAAATTAGTAAAAAAAATCTGCAGAAATTCTCAGTGATCCTTGAAAGAGTTTTGAGTTGATACATTGCTAAATTTGTCATAGGAGACTGCTACTATATAACTTTAATTCTAGCTTAATTTATATGGACGTATTATTTGTATCTTAGAGAGCAAGTATCTTTCAGAAACATTTCAAAGGGTTTTTCTGCATGTATTTCCTAGGATTATTGATTAGTTTAGACTAATGATTTGAGACCTCCGAACTGATCAGGGTGTCTGTTAGTGTCACCTATTACTGCTTCTCTGCAGTGAAGTGCACTTCCAGGAGCCTGAGCAGTTCTGTGTAATGACAGTGTTCTTCAGAGCATTATATAAGCCTTTGAGAAACAAGATTTGTTTAGCAGAAAAGGTTGGTGTTAAAGGTCAGAGACATGCATAAAAGGATTCCCTAGAATGTGTTTTCTAAAAAAGTTATTTGTTCTCATATTAATTATTTATCATTTTCATAGATGTCTCTGTCTTCATGCTTTTCTATTTATAATTTAGTTGTAAATTTCAAGATGAATACTTTTCTTCTTGTACTTCCTAACAATTATTTCTAATATTTTCCTAATTTATATGTCATATACTAAAATGTTTTAGTATCTGTATTTTCTGCTGGAGTGTAATATCCAGGAGGAAATGTATCCCATCTACATTGTTTATCACTGTGTTTAGTTTTCTATTCAAGGATATGGATCTGGTATACACCTGAAGTCGCGATCTGAAATAATTAATTCAAAAATATTCTTAGACTTGAACACTTTGTATTAAAATTATTGTATTAGTAGCTGGTCAATGGTGATCCCAGCATTTGGGAGACAGAGACAGGCAGATCTCTGTGAGTTTGAGGCCAGCCTAGTCTACTAAGTGAATTCCAGGACAGCCAGGACTACACAGAAAAACCCTGCTTTGAAAAACACTTATTATACTGGTAACAATAAAAGTAAAATGAATCTGAGCCTGCACAAGAACAGGAGCACAGAGGAGACTTACTGTGTCTACATTGTTGCTTCTAGAATAATGAAGACAAGATGAGATAAATGTGTGACACCATAGTGGTAGTCTGACCTGTAGGTGTTAAGTACCACATCAGGTATGATCCCTTAAATCAACACAAGTAAGCAAGTTGAACAAGAATATGTATAGAAGAAATGTAGATACATCTGATGATTTTGTAAAATATATTTGCTGTCAGGTATATGCAAAATATTCAGTATAACCTATACCCTGATAGTCTTGTTAAATAAAATGTGTTATTTAGGCATAAAGCTTTTGATTTAATAATAAATTATTTAGAGATTTTTATATAAACAAATCTTAAATAATAATGGCCTATAAGATGAAATATGACTGTTATACATTGAGTAATTTCAGATATCTGTAACGTCTAATGTTACAATAGCACTTGAAGTTAGTTTTTATGCATTTGAATTGCTTTTATGTTGTTTGAGTTTCAATGAACAATATGAATACATACGTACATATATATTTTTAATTTAGTGCCCCAATGCCATACCTGATTGGAATACACTCCAGTCTCATAGAGGTGAGTATCTTTCTTAGTAAGATACTTATGGAACTAATTAATTAGAAATAATAGATAAAGATTTATTTAAAGCTTATTTGACAATACTAAGATATACTTGATTAACTTTATGGATATACTAACTGGGTCATTCAGAAAGTGTCACTGAAATCGTTTCAGTTTGTGCCGTGATACTGGTTTGCCTGTGTCGGCATGAAATCCATGGAAGTGGTTGTGTTTGAAGTCACATTGTCAGTTTTAAATAATAAAATTGTTGTTCCCTGATGAACCACTGATTTCTTGCAACTTGAGTTTTTCTGTATCTCATATTTAGTACAGTATTTTGAAATTAAATTTTATGTTCTTATGAGTCAGTCACCAAGTCAAACAGTTATTTTTACACAACTTCATTATTTCCAGTTTATCAGTTGATTTTCAAAATGTGACTTTAACCTACTGTAAACTTATTAACTAGAATGTGGTGGCTCATCCTTTCCTGTGGTGCTAGTCCTTAAGGGGCTGAGAAAGGATTCCCACAATGCAAGATGGCTTTGGTGTACAGGGAGCTCCCAGGCCAGGCAGAACTAAAGAGAAGACCAGGCATATACTTTTCTAAGTTCAAAGTGTCTGTTCTACTGGTGGAGATGGATTGAGTAGTTTTTTAAAATCGTTATTTCATTTCAAAATGATTTTTGCTTGCTTACTTTATCCCTAAACTGAAATTACTTTAAACATTTGGGTTTACAGTGAATGAAATTTCCAGAAAGCATTTCTTGTAAGATGGGCACATGTGTGTGGTGGCACAGACCTTTAATCCCAACACTCAGAAGGCAGAGGCAAGTGGATCTCTGTGAGTTTGAAGGCAACCTGGTCTACAAAACAAGTTCCAAGACAGCCTGGGCTACACAGAGAAACCCTGTCTGGAAAAACTAAAACCAAAACCACCCCCCAAATGAAAACTATGAAAATATGGCATCTAAATTACCAAAAGTCTAAAACATAAGATTTGAATCTCCTGAGTGGCATCATGCTTGCTGATTTCAATTTCATTCAAACAAATTTCTCTTCTGCTGTTTGTACAGAGTAACATCAATAGTGCAGTACAGTGGCTAGTGGACATAGTGATGAATAGGTGTGGTTTTCCTGCTAGTTGCCAACACTAGTCTTTGCTTTGGCCGGAGAAGATTCTTACTAAGATAGAACCCTACTCCTGAGAAAGTTTGATTATAGAATTCTCAAATCTGGGGCTTTTGTTTTTCTTTTTGCAAAATGCTAGTGCAATAGTTCTTTTGTTCCATTATTACTGAAATATAGATTTGTATAGATTTTAATACATTTTAGTAGGTTTCACATTTTTTAAATATTACAGTCTGAGTGTAATAAATTTGTGATTCCTTACATTTTATGAAACTATTATAAGCTAAGTATGCAGTGTATGAAATGGGCTATTAGCAGATAGGTATTTATTCAATGATTAGATCAGAAAGTATATAACCTGAATTTCACTAGTTTGACTCTCATGAAATTAATTGCTTGGATTGTTTTCTTAAAAGTAACAGTTTGATTTTCATACTAAATATATTAGTAGCACACAGAATTTTATGACAGATTTACTTATAGAGATGAAAATAATTTAAAATTGGAGAGAATGCCTAGTGGTCTTATGTTAAGTTTGGATGTGTGGAATGGTTCTACAATAATCTTTAGAACAAATAAATTAGGCTTTTCCAAATTACAATAGATGAGGAAGCATGTTAGCTATTACATTTAATTTATCACATACTTATTGGACACGTACAAAGAAAGTTTAAATTTAAAATAATTCTTGGAAAATTAATAATTTTCTCCCTCTACCTTTTCCTGAAGTGGATTTTTCACTTCTTTAAAAATGCTATTGTAAAGAAAAAGATCATCCTAACTTTCTGGTGGTTCCTTTTATGAAGAGGGACATTTAGAGACATAATTAGAGTGTGTGACGTTTCCACCCCTTTCTGTGCCGTCCTTATCTTGTTTGTTAGCCAGCACTCAGCTGGTGGCAGGGGGAGAGAAGCTTCATTTGAACTTCCTTTAAACCAGGTACACATCGCTTGGCAATTTTCTTAAACAATAATAAGGGGATAGGTCATAGTTCATTATGTCACTATCAAAGGTTTAAAGTAAAATTTTTATCTGTCGCTTTATTTTAGAATATATATGTTCAAATGGAATTTAGGTATTTATATAGTTATTATATGACTCAGCGCTTTGTAGCTTTTTGCTTTTGTTAACAATTACATCTTTTTTTGGAGGAAAGCTAAAGAATACTCTTGTCTTTTTGGTCATAACAGTCTCAGCTAGTATTATTAATTGTATAAAAACCTCCGAGCTCTAAAGCATGAAATTTTTGTTCTTAGTAACTTTCACTTATTTTTATATAATGTGAGTAAAGAATGATGAAAAATATCTTTTCGAAGTAGAAGTTTATTTCTGAAATAAGGGAAACAGATTTTATTTTCCCTGAAAAGCAGACTTCTCGGTGAAGTTAGTGCTGACTAAGTTTGTAGTTGATCAGCTTGGAAGCTGCAGATACAAGGGTGGGCTTGTTTGTTTTCATCTGCACAGGACTCTGAATAGCAATGTTGTTCCCCTTTCATAAAGTTCTGTGCTTGCTGCCCAGTGCCATTCCAGTACATTCGTGTGCATAGTGTGTATAGCCACAGTCTGGACAAGGGTTAATTCCACAGAGCATAAGAGAGCCTTACACATGTGTCCAGCTTTATTTTCTTACTTTTCTAGATAAGCGTTTTTATTTTCACGTTTTAAGTTGTACCTTATAAATATATGAGCCATAAAAATATGAGATAGAGAAAGAGATTCCATGTCTGACTTGCATGCCTACATAGAAAAGACACAGCTAACACTTGATTTGGAGAGAAAAAAATAGAATGTTAGTATCAGTATTTTCAGATAGTTAAATTATAATCTACTTTTCCCCCGTTGCTTATATAGATTTATTCTAACATTAGGGTTTCAGTAATGAGCAGATTTTGTGCTTTACCTTTATCTAGTGGCACCCTGAACAAAATTTAATATTCAGTTATTATCTGCCTTAAAATGAAAAGCAATTGAAAAAGTCTACATATCACATTTCTATCATTAAACAGACTTTTGTATTAACGTCATCAAAAACATCTTGGTGGTACATAGTTCTTATGTTAAAGTGTTTAAGGAAACTCATTTGCCATTGGAAAAAAATAGATTTAGTCTTCTGGATTATACCAATTTCTCTGGCATGAGAACATCCCAAAAAGTGATGGCCAACACATTATGCCATAATTTTCCTAAACAAATGGCATTATGTGTTTTTCTTATAAATTATTAAAATTATAGTTAACATACATAATGATATAGTTATGCACTTAAACCTTTTAAATGTGTATACATTAAAATGAAAGGAAATGAGTGTTTTTTAGACATTTTTATAGGATGTTAGTTATATCACCATAAATGATTTTTTAATAATAACTTAGAGGCAGCCATCTTTTAATTCTGAGTTTTTAGTAATTGCAGTGTCTTTTGCAAGACAGGTTTTAGAACCAGTGTCCCTTGAGAATATACAGCCTACATTGTGAATTTCTAAACACAGAGATTCCCCATCCACAGGCATCATTTCTGTAGGAAATTTAACATTTAATACTAAATACTCAAAAGATTTGGAATCCAAAATGGTTCAGAGACATTTTAATCAGAATCAAATCCTACAAAATAATTGGTTAAATTAGTTTAAAATTGAAACATTTAGCCAGTGGATCTTTCCTTTAATCACAGCATTTGGGAGGCTGAGGCAGGAGGATTTCTGTGAGTTCAAGATTGGCATGGCCTACATAGCGTTCCAGGACAGCCAGGGCTATGTAGAGACCCCTTCTGCCTGTCTTTCTCTCTTGTCATTCTGTCTGTCTGTCTCCCACCCTCCAGAAAGAAGAAGAATGGTGAATTTAACTAAAAGTGCTGCACTGACATTGTTACCTTATGCCAGCTGACCCGTAGGAATGTGGAATTCTGGGTTTGTGGCTGTATTTCATTACTTGAGTGCACCACTTACAACTGAGGAGTGATACGATGGTAGAATTCAATAATTTAAGTAGATACGTGAAACAGAGAATAAGCTATACCTTTTTGGTGTAACAACTTTGATAAAATTTTTATAACTTACTATTATTTGTAGATATATTGAGATAACGTTTTGCTAAAATTTCAAACAACATGAAAAGATAAGTCAGTCTGATGAACTGTTAAATTTTATTGTTATTTTTCCCCTCGAGACAGGGTTTCTCTGTGTAGCCCTGCCTGTCTTGGGCTATCAACACCAGGATAGTCTCAAACCCAGAGATCTGCCTGCCTCAGCCTTCTAAGTGCTGGGATGATGAATTTTACTCTTTACATATAAATTCATATGAGAACATAATTGGCAATGTAGTCTCTACATTATCTTACTTTCAGCCCTGTTCATGAATGCATATTGGTATGGCCATATAGGACCTTATTTATTCACTTGAAATGGTACTGTGGTCGTTATTATTAGTTTATATTCTCTCTCCAATATATTTATGTTAAATGGATTTGAAACTGGAAACAAATTCCCATATCATAAGATTGGCATTCAAATCATAAAAGCTACAGGTTTTATAATTTTATATTCCTCTGTCTATTTTATAAGTGCTGTGCTAAATTTTTGGCAGTTATTTTAATTTATATTAGATGAGGAAATTTTCTATTTTAAGCAAATTTTTTTGAGTGACTACAGTCAAATTTCTCACTAAGCAAAGTTGTTTGTATGATTTCATAATACTGAATTTCCCTCTTTAATTTTCCCAAACATAATACACTAAGATAGTTTTTGTTTCCAAACTCATCATAAATTTGTAAGAAAAATATAATAAGCTTTTTTCATAATTGTGTTTTTTAAACAGAGAGTGAAAAATAAATCATTGGAAGATGTGGTTGTGTTAAATGTTGACACAAACACTTTAGAATCACCATTTAATGACTTGAGCAACCTACCCAGTGATGTGGTAAGTCCAAGGGATATCTGTGGTGAACAAGAATGTTTGTTGCTGGACCCTCAAGTTACTATTTTCCACTTTGTATCTGAACCTTTAAAGTTAGTGTATGCAAGGGTTTTAAGAAGAATTGATGTAGATTCTATTTTTAATATTTTACCTTTTGGCAGTCTAGATTTTAAATGGAATACCATATTCCTTATTGTAAGAATGGGATCATAATTAAAAAGCTAGATGCATTCATTACGCAGAGTTTCTTTAAACATTGAGTCCCTTCATCTCGTCTTAATCATTGTATTACAAAGTAGGCATTCTGTCTGCCTGGTGGCATGTCTTGCAAAAGAATGAGAGAGTTTTTGAAGGCAAGAAGAAGAAGGGGCCAATTATCGGCTTTTGCTTCCCTGCCACCTGCCAGCGCTTTTCCTTTTAATTAATGATCTGATGGCACTGGTCAATATAATAAGAAATGCTTGTACAGTTGGGGTCAGGAAATTCTGGCTTTGATCTCTCTCAACTTTCTGAAACATTTATTTGTTTTCTCTAAATTATTTCAGTTTTATTTTAATCTTTCCTGTCCTGCTGAGGGCCACAAGAATGAAAACCTACAGTTTGTCATCTTCTTTGGCAGAGCAAAGAATGCTTACTTAGAATCTATTTGTAAATTAAACTGCAACCCCAGTTTGTCATAAAAGACATCTGATCCTTTTGAAATGACGAAAACTGTCTTTTGTCTGTAAAGCTGATAAATTAAGTGCCAGTTCTCTTCGGGTCTTTGATCTTGTGTGTGTGTGTGTGTGTGTGTGTGTGTGTGTGTGTGTGTGTGTGTTGTGTTGTGTTGTGTTTGCAGCTTTTAATGAGATATATTTTGTATTTCATATTCAATATCTATGTAAAATTGCATATTTTGGCTTTCGTGTTCTGTAGTATAGTGCAAGATTGCAAACTAGTGTTATTCCTATACATATTTAATGGATATTTTAATGTCTTTATAACATAGTCATAAGTTTAAAATGACTCCCTTCTTTAAAAAAACCCTCAAAGTGCCCATTCTTTTCAACATTATTGAAATTTAACAATTGAAAGTGAGCTTTGCAATATCTTTTTCTGTATTATTAAGGAGCTTGAGAAAGTGAATTTAAAAATCTCCAATTTAAAAAATACATCAGTACCAGCCTAGATTGTTCTTGTGACTAGTGATAGGGAAATGGGAGTGTTGAGAAGCATGTTACTTTTGCTTATCAATCAATAACCAGACCAATTAACCCTGAGTTTAAGCTCAGTAAACTGAACTGTGAGCCATCCAAACACAAACCGATAGACACTGAGATTCTCTTCCCAGCTCAGTGCAGCCAGCTGCTTCATTAGGAAATCTGCAGAGACTGGACTGCTAGGAAAGATGCTAGCTAGGCACTGAGAAATCCATCCAAGTGGTTTTCACTGGGTAGTGAAATGCCGATGAAAATAGAATTCCAGTTTTCCAAACATTTTCCTTATGGTATGCACATTTCCTATTGCTATGCTTCAGGAGAAAGGGTTGTTTACTGAAAGAGTGATAGGAACCCAGCCTTTCTCTATGTGATACTAAGATCTGTATAGTGCCCTGAGCTCCTGGCTTGAGAAGAGCCTTTGAAGTCTCAGCGTAGTGGGAATCGCTTTTAACTGAGAAGTACTTCTCTTGTAGATTTTGTTTGTAATCAAGATAGTGATTTAAATGTATAGAGGTGCTAAGCAAGAGTCACAGATGTACAGATACAAACATAGATGGTTACAGAAGAGTCCCTATACTGCTCGTTCAGCACTACTAACTGCCATTGTGAGCATGGAGGAAAAGGAGCGAGCGTGGCAGCTAGTGCTGGGGGATTGCAAAGGTGCTGCCATTCCAGGCCGCAGACGTGCCGACAGCTGAAGACTCGGCAAGTAAAAGCTCTGAGACAGAGCAAGAGCCATTTGTTGAAAACAGGAGGTTTTTTTAGGCAATTGTTTAATTCATGTCTAATAAAGTTCTCATTTTCATCAGTTTTTCAACATTGCCCTTTAGAGCTCTACACAGTTTAAAATGGTGAATGTTTTAAATAAGATCTGTTAAAATCCTGAATGATAATGGTTTTTTATGTGTGATCTATACTAATAAATGTTTTTGAATCCTGGAAGGTATTACTATTGGCTTTGTTTGATTAGTTAGTAAGTTAACTAAGATTTAAAAGGGGGCCCTTTTAAAGCATCCACCAAAGCATTTAAATTATGCTCACAGGCTGGTGACCGTGTGTGCATATGCACTCTATTACTGTGTCACATTGACCAGTGGCCGCGGCTGCTCAGAGGTCAGTGGTCACAGTTGTCCTGAATTACTAGTTCTCTTTTCCTGTGGACCCTCTGGTGCGTTGCATGCTGTAATCTTCTTAATGGCTTCATTCCAATATTCACACATAATATTTTAGATTTATTGACTGTTAGAAATACTACCACGCCAGTAGCACTTCCGCTGCTCTTAAGGTATTTAAAATTGGAAAAATAAATCAGGGCAGGCTGCAGGAATCCTTTGTTTTCCTTTTGGGAGGAAAAAAACCCGCCTTTCTTCCTGTTTTCTGACAAGAACACTTGTTTTTTGATTTCATCATTTCACTATAGATTTGGATCATCAAAACAAAACAGAAGCTAAATGTTCTATTGGGAATGATTTTAAGGATATTATTTCACAGGAAAACTTCTGAAGACAGTGACACACTGAAACTCTTTAGTAGCTTGTTATGAAAGTATTGTGGCTTTATTTTAGTAATATGCCATGTAGACATTTTCGAACATATGTAGTTAGAATATTTTGACTAAGAGTAAACTTCAGGGCTAAGTAACCATCAATCAAAGTTAGTGTTATGGTAAGTGTGTTTAGGAGAATCGGAAGAAAAGTTCAATAATATATAACAGGGTAAATTTCAAATGAGTTCATTTAACTTTAGAAAATGAACTATTGAAATCCCTCATTCCATATATTTATAGGCAGATTTAGTTTAATTATGTAGTAATTTAAAATTTTGTGTTTCTTTTTACTGTTCATTTTCATGTTTGTCATTATTAATACTTTATAATAATTTGGGAAATGTTGCTATTCATGAAATAATAAGGTAACCTACTTACTTGCTGGAAAATTAGGCTAATAATTAAAATTATAGTATTATTTAGGAAGTATACTCTCATAGGAATGTTAAGATCAGCAATTATAAACCAAGTCTTTTATAGATGAAAGCAGCCGAGAGTTGGCTGACATCTGACAAAGGTAGTTGTATTAGAATATTCATTACAACAGGCAAGTGGTTTTTGTATAACTATCTTCAGATAATTTTAATTTATTAAAGAACAAGATCTTATTTAAAGTAAGAAAACTGAGTCATAGGATGTATACTGTTCATAGCTAGAACTTTAGTGGATAAAGTTTTTTTTTTTGTATCTATACCCCAAACAGAAGACCACAGTTCCTCACAGTAGGTGTGATGTACATTTCTGAGTAATGGGTAACTTACAGTTTCACTCACAAGCAGTTTGCCATTCTTATAGTGCTAAAAGAATGGCAACATGATATATTTGATTTAAAAATTTTCAGCACTTGTTTTTTAAAGTTATTTTTATCTGTAAGTACTATCGTTGGAAAATAATTGTTTTCTGTGATAAAAGTTTGTAAAAGTACTGCCTTTAAATGTTATTCTGTGTAGCAACCATTATACTTAAACTCACATTTTTCAAACATCTATTGTGTACGTTTCCATGATACCTTAGGTGCTGTTAAACTGGGGCACATTGTGATAGGATACCTACGTAGGTTTTGGTATAAAATCTTTTAATTACTAAAATATTGGGAACACTTCTTATAAATGGCCTTACGTAAACTGTCACACTCATTACACTGCTATTGTGGAATAGCCTTTGAAGGAATATGCTAGTGATTTGCTTGTGCTGTGAAAAGTGAACCGCACAGATTACCAGGAGTCACCAAAGGAACGAGAGAAAACCTCCAAAACACAAACTTGCAATTAAATTTTTGAGTAGCTACATTTAAGAGAGTTTATATATTCAAGAATCAGTTTAGAAAAGTACTGGCTATTTTAGAGGATTTTTAAATTAATTGAAAAATTATAAAGTATATAAACTTTATATGTGGCTGTGAATATTGTCACTGCATGTCGGATTCATTGACTAGGTCCTCTAATTTAACACGAAGGCTTTAACCAGTTAAAGGGCACAGTGTATGTTATAAAGAAGCCCAGGCTCCTGAGATTATGATTTCAGTCCCAGGTTTGTCCCAGCTCTGCTATAGTCCTGATCTTGCTGAATGGTCAGCGAAGTCTCTAACAAATGCCAGCAGTGGGCCATGCTGGAAAGATAATACCACTTTCCTCCAATTAGAGCATGACATGGAGAGCAGCAGTGGATAGAACAGACTTGAGGAAATAAGCCTGGTTTCCGTTGTCCTTGAAGACGTCGCTGCCTGCTCCACTCAGCTGCCAGGATGCTGTCACCAGTTGTCCAGGCCTCTCTTGCACCATCCTCTATGTTGTGCTTTGTAAGGAGTAAGCACTGGATGAGTGAGTGTGGATGAGAAATACAATTACACTGTTCAAATTTCTTGATACAGAAGTTTGCTTTTTAAAAATCTCTGTGTAGTTATCATCCAGAATATTATATAAGGATACTTTCATTTGATTCTCATAATGGATAAAAAATAGGAAACTCAGAATCTATTTTTTTCTATAATTCAACAGTTTATTTTTTGCCTGGATTGAAAATGCACACTGTGAAGGCATTCTAATTGTCTTTGAAAACTCATTGTCTTTTTAAATGATTATTTCCATAGATCTAGTCATTTCTAAAATAATTTTTTGTTTGCTTGTTGGTAAAATATTAAAGATTTTACTATTGCCCTACTCTTCCCATTGTGTAGTTTCAATACAAGGCTTACATATAAAAAAGAGGAAAGGAAAAGCAAATCCACCATCTTTTAGATGTGCTTGTGAATATTTCAA